GCAAAGGAAAGGGGATGCTCGGAATCAGCACGCAGGAAAAGCAGGAGGCGGGAGGTGCCACAGGTTCCTGGGGACAGGGGCTTCTTGCTACCTCCAGGTTTCCGATGAAGGCCGCGCTCTCTCCAAAAGTCCAGCAGTATCCTTAAAAAATTCAGCTCAGTGACAAGTGCAGGGTTTGACCCAAAGCGCGTGGACAGGCTGGTCCCCACCACTCTCACTGGCCGTGTCTGCGCTCCAGCGGGCGCTGCTGAGGCAGCAGAACACCAAAGCGCTCGGGGTTTGGGTGCTTCGCCGTGGTACTGTGTCCCTAATCCTCGCTTTGGTAATTTTTAGTGCCTAAGGTACCACCGTCACCTCCCAAGGTGGCCTTTTGTTTCCAGAGTGGTGTTGCCAGCTCTAAAGCTGTTATGTGTTGAGCATGTGCAGCTGTGAAGGACATCGCAAAGCAGCAGGTTTGCATCTGCTGCCCCCTGTCCCCCCCGGCCACCCCGGCATGTGCCTGTGTCCCCGTCCCCGTCCCCGTCCCCTCACCTGCTTGAGGATCTGAGCCGCCATCACGTGGCTGCAGTCGAAGATGATGCGGAATTCCCTGCCCCGCTTCATCTCCTTGAGCAGCGGCCGGGCGTCGTCGGAGTCCAGCGGGAGCTGGCGGATTTTCAGGCGGATGTTGTAGCGGGACGGGGCCATGATGAGCTCCTGCAGCCGGATGAGGCCTTGGGGCACGGCAGAGACGAGGCCACAGCGTTACGGGCTCTGCCCGCTCTCCTACTTGGAGCTAGACCTTTCTCATATTATTTACGGAATGCCGTCAAGTTTCCTCCCTCCCTCCAATGGCCAATCTTAATGATATATCAAAGCAAAGCTGTCATCTGTCAATCACTTAAAAAAACAGCTATTTTGAGAGCAGATGTCCTTGGGCAGAATGGCTTTTTCTGGCATTTCCCTCCTCCCTTGCATCCAGGCAAAACAGAGCTCAGGTCCCTGTGAGGCTGAGAGGAGACCTAATCTCTGACATCTCAGGGATCATGACACATTTTCGTAAGAAAATGCACCACAGGCAGGGGCAGAGTGTGCTAACCAGCTGTACAATAAATTAAAATCCACAGCATTTACCATGCACAACAGCAAAAGAAAACAAGCAAAATTTGCTTAGAGCTGTGAACAGAATGGTTTGCCATGGTCGCTTAATGAGAACTCAGAAATTTCCTGCTCCCTTTAGACCTAATTTCCGTGCAGAGGGTGCAGAGCTGTGCTGGATGCACCGAGTGGGAGCTGCTGGGATCTAGCATTGCAGGAAGAAACCCAGCAGGAGCCTGGTGCAAGGAGGAGCGGGACCGCAGCGTGTCCCTGGGCACAGCAGAAGAAATGCATTAAGATATGCCATGAAGGGAACATACTGTGACCCACATTTGCCAAACAGCAGTGTCAAGCCGCATTTTCATCAGCCCTCCCCTAAAGAAACCTCTTGGTTCTGGGGAATGGGCTTGGACGGGGACTCCAACGCGCCTTTTGTTTGGGGTGTTTTTAATCCTCAGCGCTGTGCAGTGCTCGGCTTTGCTCCACTGTCAACGCTCTTCTTTACGTGGAGATCTCTGTCAGCTTTGCTTTATAGCATCAGCCAAAAACTTCCCCAAACCGCTTTTCTTTTTAGCTGGGAAGCGGCAGGCGTGGATCGCGTCCTGCATCCGGGCAGAGCCGGGGAGCGGAGCCGGTTCGGCCGTTGCGGAACGGGGCCCCGTGGCCCTGCACCAGCTACCGTGGACAATGCAGCTTTAGAGGTGCTTGTGGGAGAAACGCCCCGGGAACGAGCGCTCTTCCCATGCCCCTTCCTCCTGCTGGGATTGGGAAAGCTGTGACACGGGAGCAGGGGGAAGCGCTGGGAACGAGGGCTCTTGCCGTGGCTCCTTGGGAAACCTGCGACACGGGAGCAGGGGGAAGTGCCAGGAACGAGCGCTCTTGCCGTGCCCCTTGCTCCTGCTGGGATTGGGAAAGCTGCGACACGGGAGCAGGGCGGCGGAGCCTTGTGCGGCCGCGGGGCCTACCTGTGCTGTCGTCGTAAACCACGGTGGCCGACCTCCATTTCAGATACTGCACCAGGTCCAGGATGGCGTGGCTCAGCGAGGCGTAGTCGGGGTACAGGTTCACGTAGAAAGTGTCCTTGTTATCCAGGGGGTGGTGCTTCCATCGCAGCTGGATGTGGGGCACCTCCAGCGCGTTGCAGATGGACTGCACGGCGTTGGTGCAGGAGCCCTGCGAGGGCCCGAAGATGGCGACGACGCCGAGGGCCAGCTGGTCGCAGGCTGCGGAGGGGAGGCCGTGAGCGCCGAGGAGGCCGCGCAGGGCCCGACGCCGACGGCAGCCCTTACCTTTCTTGGTGGCTTCGAAGCTGTCGTGGAAGTGTATCCTCTGGATGTCGTAGGTCAGCGTGGTGTTGGGCAGCAGCGTTCGGTTCCTGTTGATGATGTTGGCGGAGAACCTGAAGGCTTGCTCTTCAGCGCTCATCACCTGCGCGTTGGGGCCGTCGGCGTACTCAAAGATCCCTCCTGAAACACAGCGCGAGGCCGAGCGGAGTTAAGGCCCGCGGGGCCGCGCTCGGACACCTCCTGGCCACGCAGAGCGCGCGGGCCCTGCACCGCGGCCGCTCGCTATTTTCAGTGCCGCCGTTTTTGCTCCTCGTGTTGTTACCCAAGTTCTGAACCAGAGCAGCAGAGACGCCTGAATCTGCGTGCCCTGCCTGCATCTGCGTGCCCTGCAGCCTCCCTGCTCAGCAATGCACGTGCTGAGCACACGCGGCTCCGTTACACCTCCCTGGGGCAGCTCGCTCGCGTCGCGTAGCGCCGCCGTCCCTGGCTCCGTGTCTCTGAGCCTTGTCCTCCGCTCCCCGCTGGCAGCCTCTCTAATTGAAGCGACTCAGTGCACGCGTAAATTATGTAATTGTATATTCTTGCTGCCGAGACGCGGGAACGATCTCACGCTCCTAGCAGAACCATGGGAAGACACACACACCTTGTTTTGTCTTATTAGAAAGCAACCCCAAATTAATGGATGAGTGAGATAAGCAAGCGCAATTGGCAACAGATGGTCTCTGGGTTCATTAGCAGAAAGGAAATCTTCCTCTTCAATTTAAGGTAGCCCTAAAATGCTTTGTTATAGGCACCAGATGTCTCGTCGGCGCTGCCGCGTTTCGAGCAGCTGCAGGAACGCGCCGCGTCGCGCTGCTCTCACCAGCGACGGGCTACAAGGAGCCAGAACCACCCAAGGCCCTCGCCCGGGCCCTGCGAGGCCGCGCAGGGCAGGACGGTGCCGGGATGGCTCCCGGCTCCGGCTCCCTGCACTTCCCTCCTCTCGTCTCACAAACTTTGTGCCTCGCTGGCCCAGGTTGCAGAGTGAGTGTGGTAATTAATTTGCATCCGTAAACATCCGAAAGAAAAAGCACGTGGAAATCCAAGTAAACATTTGAATTATTCACTGCATGTCTCTGTTAGAAAAAGATATTACTAGTGATAACATGGGAGGGGGGAGAAAAAGGCGCTGAATGCTCATTCTGGAGATGCTGCTCAGTCCCTTGTCATCTTCCATAAATCACTTGTCACCAGGTTTTCAATCTAGAATGCTTAAAAAAGTAGGCAGGAGCCCAGCACAGCTTTCCCAGTGCCTGGTTCTCCCTGGATCGTGCCCAAAGGCTGTTATTGATCAGCACAAAGAAAATTATCCCTCATAAAGCTTGGCGCCACAGTCTGAGTGTCTTAGAGCAGGGAAAGTTCCTGCACAAATTACACCAGAAACCAGGAACAGAAATCAAACGAACCCGCGCTTCGCCCTTGTCCTTCTGCTGTGCAGGACATTCGGGGAAAGGAGTTTTGCTCGCAGCAGCCTGCTGAAAACCTGGGCTCGAGCCGCACGGACGCTTGTGAGCGGGATGCGGGAGGGCGGGATGTGGATTCCCGGTGTTTGGTCCCAAGGACGTTACCGTCACAGCCCCTGCCTGGCCACGGCAGGTCTCTGGGAAAGGAGGACTCTGCGGAAAAGCGGAGCGCGATGGCACTCGGCAGCGCCGCTGGCCCCGCTCCTGGCACTGCCTCGCTCCTTCAACGCGTTTGTTTCCATCATTAGTTAAAGAGCCTAATAACCGGCTTGAAACAACTGATTAATGCATAATCTCCATCATGATTACATGCCATAGCTGGCATTAATTTGAAAAGCCGGCTAATTATGAAAATAATTGGTGCAGCTTTTCCATTTGAGCAAAATGGAGACTATGGGCCTGGCCGTGGCGAGGAGGAGGGAGGCGGCAGGTCCCCGCGGCCGGCA